CATTCTTATCTCTATAAATTTTATTGATAACTCAAATTCCTTACCAAAGAAAATGCACAGCCAATGAAACCGAAACACGCCAAGCTGTCTAGAAACGAGCTTTTAAACAAGACGCAAATAAAGTCAGCCAAGCTCCCGAACTCTATTTACTTACAGTCCCTAAGTACAAGTCAACATACCCGGGGCGAGAGCTTACACATTCATTATTCATTAGACTAAGATCTGCTAAATTAATAACGTCGACGGAACAACACAATATGTCGAGTTCGATGTTTAAGTTGTCTGGGGCCATATTGTTCTATGACGTCATGCTTTTATATTTAATTACATTGATTAGTGATACATTTTAGATGTAAGCTATTTTACTACCCGTTGGACTCTTAACAGACACCAGCATAATAATATCCAATGTCGGTGTCATCCATGGTGTCATATACACCATTTCTTCATTTTCCAGAAAATCTATGTTTTGAATCTGTACTAGTAATAATAGTGTTTTATGTAATTATATAGTACATACTTGGAATGTAATCAAGGCAATCAAATCAATGTAATCAATTTATAAGCCGTTCGTTCCGATCTTAGCATCTCAAAGACACATCCGTTCGAAGTTTAAAAAAGTAATTAAAAATTTAGGTACTCATTCAGTAGCACGAGTATTAGCAGCTGACCTAGTTCACGTTTGGTCTAATAAGGCAGTTAATTGGAAGTCTACTATTTGTGCTTTCATTAAGCTCTACATATAGTTTAGCATATGTTTTAGGTTTTTTTTTGAGAGCATTAAGTTTGGTACAGTGGTACTACAGCCATGAAATGTTTCGGTTATTGACTGTTAGAACGCGTTGTGAGCTTGCTCTGATTGGCACCATCGCTCTACTTGATTCTGCAGCAAGGAAGAAGAGGGTTTCAATCTGAAGGCAGATTAAGACACAAAACTCTTTCAGAATGGATAGCGAGACCAATATTGCGGTGTGTTTGTAGTATTTTATCAGTTGGATCATTTTCCCATAAACAGCAAAAATACAATTTCAGTTGATAAAAAATCTCACACCACAAGTCACAAGTAAAGTTGTCAGGCTTATGCCACGGAAATAACAGTTCGTTTTCCTTTATATCCTTCAGCGAACATCAAATTAGACATTTAAGTTTCATTACACAACAAGATGACATCCGCGGACGTTGCCAAGTCTGAGCTCATTTAACTTTTTCTGAAAGTTGTCGAGCTTAATTTTCTGATTAATAAGCTTTATAGCTCAATTTCTTGAAAGTTGTGAGCGGACGCAACATAAAATTTAGATTTAGATTAACTGATGTTCCTTAAAAGTCCATTTAGACACGTGTTTTTCCCTGTTTGGCTCTATTGGGAAGTTTTCTTTCGTATTTATGTACTGTGAGATCTTGAATTTTTGTACGTGTGTTATGTATATATGCTAATTCAATATTCTGTCTGTTTGTTCTGTAGTCTGAAAATGGGACACCTGTGACCGAGAAGCGGAAAAATGCGCGTTTGGGATGGCATGGACATGTGATGAGACGAAATGAAAATGAGGTTGGTAAGAGAGTGTTAACTACGAATGTGGAAGGATATAGAGGAAGAGGTAGACCTAAGAAGAAATTAATGGATTGCGTTTAAGACGATATGGGTAAGAAGGGAGTGAGCGAAGAAACGGTATATGATAGAGGAGTATGGAAAGAGAAAACATGTTGCGCCGACCCCAGGTGACTGGGAGAACGGCAGGGGAATGAAATGATGATGTTAGTCCAATATTGCAGTACTTAAGACAAGTAATTACAGTAAACACTGTCCATACTTGTCCATTGAAACTAAAAATCCGTTTCATCATGTTTCGAGTGTGAAAATATCTGATTTTGGTAGTTTATATCCTTGGTAGTTCTAATATAGTATCTACTACATAAGAAGCCCTTCTAACACCGCTGACCCAAGAGACCGATGCACAGAAAGTAGACACAAAAAATCCTTTTGCGCATCCCTACAAGATCTAAAAACCAAGCAAACCATACTTGAAAAAAAAAATGGTTGTAAATCCCTAAGCAGAGCTTAGTATGCAAATCACATAAGATTTCGTGAAACGACCCTTCGTGTAGCTCTTATGGGGCCCATGCGTGCTTATCAGTACATTTTGACGGGCCCAGGGTACGGCTCTGAAGGTGTAATGTTAAAATGCTATGTTTAAAATTTACTTTTCGTTTAATATTATCGGGATAAATTGAGTATTTTTTATGAGGCATTAAAACTGACACCAGTTATCCGACAAAATTACGAAGATATTTGTAAATTTTTTATTACTATGCCTCATAATAATATAACGGTTTGACATACCACATAGTTATTGTACAATACTAATTTGACTTCGAATTTATCTAACTGGATGAGTGGTTGAGATCATATTTAGATGTTAGTCAGGGCCCTGAAACTGCGATACTTTAAGACAAACATTTTTTTGTATGGAAACTAGCGACATCTTGTAGCGGATGCCCCTAAACTTATATGTTGTTAAAGTTAAGGCGTTTAATTATTGTATAACTAAACACAGAAAAAATATACATATACATAAATCAACAAGTCTTTATTTGTTATACCGGATATCTACAGGGGCAATGAGAAACTATTCGAAACGAAGCCATCTAGTGGCCGACGCCCGTAAACATTTTTGTTGAGTGCTTTGGTTGCTTATCTATAACTAATTTATGTGTATTATCTATGGTTGGTGTACTTCAGCTAAGCCGGCAACCAAGCAAATAAATAGATATGACTGAACTGGAATAAAAATGGATTCCAATTGCAACGAAAAAAAAAATCAATTTAATAATCTCATAAAAAAACGGCAATAACCCAATCCCTTTAACGTGACTTGACGTCGTGACGTAAGATACGCGTAAAAACTTTTAGAGACAACGTCACAATCAATCACACTCGGCTCACNTTCAACTAAACCGGCAACCAAGCAAATAAATAGATATGACTGAACTGGAATAAAAATGGATTCCAATTGCAACGAAAAAAAAAATCAATTTAATAATCTCATAAAAAAACGGCAATAACCCAATCCCTTTAACGTGACTTGACGTCGTGACGTAAGATACGCGTAAAAACTTTTAGAGACAACGTCACAATCAATCACACTCGGCTCACTGACATGTGACGTCACAAGAGATTAAATCGAACCCAGAGCGTAAGTCACGTGATTGAGTCGATCTTTAAATTATATCTATACTGAATATATAAATATACAGTGGTCTTTACGGATGTTCCATTATAACTACTGAACCATGCATCCGATTGACTTGAAACTTAGTATTCATGTAGAAAATACATGTGCTTAATGGATAGGCTAATATTTATATGTGTGTTGGACTCCCTACACCAGTTGCGGGGGCGTTAATGATGAGAATCTTTGGGGGGGTGAGAAATAGTAATGTTAATTTTAAATGCCCAGCGAAGCGGACGGGAACAGCTAGTTTATTATATTATAATGAAACCATTACTTTTCTTATTGCTCTAGATAAGCAAACTAGTTCTCAACCTATTGTGTTAATAATCTATGGTGTTAATTGGTAACCAAATTCTATATACCTCACGATGTGAATAGCCCACCCACCATGAGAAATGAAATTGGATTATTTATATTGTAAAACGCCCGCTCTTAAAATTAGAGCTCTTTTTGCTTCAAAGTAAAAGTGTCCCACCCATATGGGTGGATTCACATTGACATCAATAATTAGACTGTCTGAATTACTGAGTGTTTACTGGTGGTAGGACCTCTTGTGAGTCCGCGCGGACAGATACCACCACCTCGCCTATTTCTGCCGTGTAGCAGTAATGCGTTTCAGTTTGAAGGGTGGAGCAGCCGTTGTAACTATACTTGAGACCTTAGAACTTATATCTCAAGGTGTGTGGCGCATTTACGCTGTAGATGTCTATGGGCTCCAGTAACCACTTAACACCAGGTGGGCTGTGAGCTCGTCCACCCATCTACGCAATAAAAAAAGTTTAAATTACAGGACTAGATTTCCATACATAGCTTTGCCTACATAGACAATTCTTTATACCGCTTTAGCAGAGACCCGTACTCAACAATAGAATGAAGGTAGCCTATATTATTTCCCGGGGTTCAACCAATTTCCATTCCGAATTTATCAAAATCAGATCAGAATAGATGAGTTGTTTGAGCGTGAAAACTTAACTGACAGACAGGAATATTTTCATATTAACAGTGTTGTTTATTTTGTAACTTCTAACCGATAGCAGTATCATATTGAATTCCAAAACTCTTTGAATGATGTTAATTACATTTAGCGATTTTAATTAAACAAAGTTTATATTCTGATCCAAATTAATCTCTGCCTACATGTAAATACTACGTTAAAACTCTGTCAGTAGTTCCAGAAATGTGCGCGAACAAACAAACAGACACAGAACATAATTTTAAAAACTAATTTTTTATTTATGTTTCATTTGGTTACCTTCTTTCTACGTTATTACTTTTCTTCAATCTACGGACATACCGGATTATTCTGTTTTATGATTTACCTTATTCGTCCAACGTGGACATTTTTGTAAGCATATATTATTAATAATTTTTTTTATTGCTTAGATGGGTGGAAGAGCTCACAGCCCACCTAATATTACGTGGTTACTAGAGCCCATAGACATCCAGAACGCAAATGCGCCACCCACCTTAAGATATAAGTTCTAAGGTCTCAAGTATAGTTACAACGGCTGCCCCACCCTTCAAACCGAAACGCATTACTGCTTCACGACAGAAATAGGCATGGTGGTGATACCTATCCGCGCGGACTCACAAGAGGTCCTACCACCAGTAAAAAAATATAGTACGTAAAAAAATATTAGGTACCAATATTTATACCAGTCATATAACCAATACTATACGGGATAAACAGGCACACACCAAGAACAAACCGACCAATCTTCGCTGTTACAAATACAATATTATAGCTTCAACAAAACATCCACGTACCTCTTGAGGGGTGTATCTGAAGATCTCGTGAGTGTCTTTGTACCATTTGACGGAGTGCAACGGAGGATCGAGAGGCTGCCTCGCGTACTGACACCGTAGTTCAGCTTCTTTTTTAGGATCAGTCCACCGGGGCACGTCCAAGAGTGTGATAGTGTGCGACACGCTGTGTGCTGGAAACGAAATATCTTATGTTAATTAAAGTTGGCATCGAGTGTGCATCAAGTGGTCAACATTTCAAATTGGACACGACCTTCAGCAATGAATAGACCGACTCAGAAGAAGAAGAATTAAAGTGGAAAAGTTTCAACCTATTTTTTTATTACTTACCCATCTAAGTCGGACGAGCTCACAGCCCACCTAGCGTTAAGTGGTTACTGGAGTCCATAGAAATCTACAGTATAAATGCGCCACCCACCTTGAGATAAGTTCTAATGTATCTCAGTATAGTTACAACGGCTGCCTCATCTTTCAAACCGAAACGCATTACTGCTTTACGGTGGAAATGGGCAGGGTGGTGGTACCTACCCGCGCGGACTCACAAGAGGTCCTACCACTAGTGATTTATAGCGTCGGTAAATACAGTCTCTTCTACTTGGACTTGACTATGTTTATCAACACTGCCCTTTTAGATATCATTTTTCCAGTACTGTTACACTCTTCGATATTTATCGAGTACCACGGTCTTATTTTTGAAAAGATGGAAAAAAAAATTAAACGGTAAACTATTTCACATCTTAGTGTATTTCTAGTATTCCCGGAGAGCCCATGCTTTTCGAAAATCCCTTACGATATGAAGGGTAGTCAGAGCGGCTTGTTAAGACTTTAACCTTTAAGTCAACTCCTTGTCATCTCCCACGAAAGCCTTGAATTGGGATGCGAGACTGTCATGCAAAATCTGTGTTCAAAGGTTCAACTTATAGCAGTTGCAAAAGGTAGCAAGCAGTACATTTTCCTACCTCTAAATAGTTATTTTACAAAATTAACAAATCCACTAAACCTTACTTGGCAGAGTGATAAATTTGAAACAGCGAAACCGAAAAATCTACATAATCCTCAATTTGCGCACACAATGATGAGATTCTCCGAGTTATAGAAATTTCCGGAAGCGGACAAACACCACACTTAAAATAAGGTTTAAAGTAAACACAAAAAGGTCAAAGAGGATTTCATTCAAGGTAATCATCTTTGCACACAGAAATTTACGAGCTTGGGCATTATGGGCAGTTAAACGGAGCGTGTGCATAACTCCTTAGTTTAATGTAACTTGAAATTTTAGAATAGATTTTATTGTAAATCATTAAGAGCCGTTTCGGCTTGACATCTAACATAATATTATTATGTAGATTATGTACATTATTATTGAAGTGAAAACTTCTTTAGAATCGTTGTGATTTCAAACCGGATGCAACGGAAAAAACGACAGGTAAGAGACACAAATACAAAAATGTGTAGGATGTAGCCAGCAAAGAATGAGACAGAAATATACATACTATTTAATACAGCGCCATCTGTGAGATTTTTTAATACTAACGTGTGTATGAAAGCTCTTGTAGTGAATTTTAATTTAGGATTATACGTGAAATTAAAATATCAATTCACAGAGGGGCTACCTTACAATTATTTACTAATGACAAAATTTTACATATACTTAAGACGTTTAGGATAATTGTATTTTAATTTTGGAAGGTTTCACTTCTACCACGTGTGAATTGCACACATTTTGTTTTTTTTTCTTAGTCAGACGTATCATATGCCTCATAGTTTATCGTGAACACGATGAGCCCACAGTGAAAGAATATGTCAAGGTTTGCACGGTAGAACTATCAACTAAATGTATCCATAGATTTCTTGGTTTCCTCTTTGTACAAAGTTGCAACGTAAACCTCAATAAAAAATTGTATTATAACGACAAGTACATAGATACCTATGGGTTGTGTTAACCACAATCCATATGTATCTATGTACTAAATGTGATTAAAATAGAAAATTTCTATGGTGATAACAAAATGTGTAATGTAATCGAAATGTAGGATTCTAAAATGAATAAATATCCAATATCAAATTTTAAAAGTGACATTTCTGAAATTGCCTAATCCGTAGGACGAAAGTTAAAATGCTGTAAATAAAAGCTCGTAACACCTGTGCCTTAGATATATCCTTATGAAAGGTCATAATTACAATCCACCAAGAGACATAATTTAAACCTTCGGAACAAGAGATTAATGTATTTATTTATTTGAACTTATAATTTGCTTACAACGAAACATGAAGTACTGTAATAGTTTCAAAAATTAAAAAAACAGCTAATTCAATTGTTAAATTTTTGAAGATAATAGAAATCAGCATATCGCATTAGATATTAGTGAATCAATTTAAGATTTAAAGGCCACAATAATATTATAATTATGCTCATTTTTTTTTGTAAATACACTTCTTACGATGTATGTTACACTCTCAGAAAAAGTGCGTGAAGTATCCCAATGCGCGACTGGAGCTTATTCTTAAGTGCATTACAATGGGAAAGGGATAATTAATAAGACTTTATGCAATAATATTGAAAGTATATCGTTTTTACATATATTTCTTTATATTTTTTTTATTTTTGTTTTTTATGTATCTTTAGCTTGTGATGTGTGTTGTGAGCCTAAAAAAATAAATAAAATAAAATAAAATATTATTCATTTATGCTAATTCTACAAAGCATTATTATACATAAATTATAACATTTCGAAAACTTATTTAATTTTGAAACATTCTTCTTCGATGCGCGTTTAATATCTGTGCTTCTAATATCAAAATTAATTTAGCGTGTTAAATAAAAAACAAAACAAAAAAAAACTACAATAAATGATTCCGAATTATTGTTTTTAGCTCGGTGTAATATACATTAAATACAATAAATACATTAAATCAAAACAATTAAATTAAATCAAAACAAAACGATATTAAATGAGTTATTCTCTATCTATCTTATTTAAACACTAAATGAGATGTGCCAATTGAATACAGCATATTTTTATGTTAAAGATTATATGATTAAGTCTATTGTTATATTCCAATGAAAAATAAGCGCTGGAGCTCGAAATAAATATCAACGTTCATCGAAATACTAATTGAAATGAGTGGACTCGGGAACCCGCAATGGCCAGCGCGGCGTTTTAAGGGCAATTCAAGCGCAGACAACAAAAAATACAAATTAAACCTCTATTTAACTATTTAAAAGTAGACTTCAATTATTTCAATTCACTTCTTTCGTTGTACTTCAGGTACTCCGTGTGTTTTTTCGCTTCGAATAGAACTGACTACTTACTAACTTCATGTCGCCTTTACGACTATTTTATAGTCGACACGACATAATATCTACAGTTTTCCAAAAAATGTTAGATAGTACCAGTAGTTTTAGTATTAGTTTCTGCCAGATGGCGTTACTCGCACCAGCATGACAATCATCTATTTAACTGGAGATCAAACGGTTGGCTAAATAAAATTGACTCCTATAGAGTATGCAGATATAAGGCACTAGTTGGTTCTATTAGTGTTCTACCTCAGCCATTTTACTTACTAGTCGTACTGTTACACCGATACCCGTAACGCCATCTATCGCCGGATAGCCGACCGAATATCGAAGGATCTAGTAGCATCTAGAACGCTCGAGAAGGACAACGGCATCTATTATCATATAGCGGAAACACAATACTCGACTTTTGTGGAATATTCTCGACGATTCTAAAGATGTGGTATCGGCTATAAAAGCGTTGCAGAGATGGCACGCAGTCAGTCAGTAATCGGAACTACGGAACGGACTATCGGAACTAATCACCTGAAGCGAAGCGGAAGAAGCGAATTGAGAATTTTAAAGTGTCTGTGAAGTGTTTTAAATGTTCTAAGTGCTAATACAGTGTTATCTTGTACTTCGGTAGAATTTATTCATCCCGAACCCCAGCGCGTAACAGTACTTTATTCTAGATGAATTAAAACTTCAATCTCAATGGTGAATAATAACTCAATATCAAGAATAACATGCGCTAATTTGACTAGCTTTGACTATCAGCACACAGTACGAGCTTTGTGTAATTGTAGGATTTATTATGCATTCAAACGCTTCTATTTACTCCATTTGAGATGTCTAAATACGTCAAGTTCATGTTTTGTTGGACATATCTGATTCTGGCACCGTTTCAAAAGAGTTAACAAACTTTGTTTTATTAGAATGAAGCTGAGAAAGGTTTGAGAGTCTAACATAGTTTATGTCCATCAAATTGTAGAAAATTTTCCTTGAAATATTCGGGGGTATTGTGATCATATTTAAGGGAAATTTGTTGTGCATTGCTAGATGCCTGAAGATGTTATAGTCTTGGTAAATATTGTGTTTAGACTTTTTTATTATTTATATCATTAATTCCATCATTATGAACTAGCCACCTTTTAATTAATTCGTTTATTTTTTGTTGCATATACTAAAATAATCGGTTAATATAAAGGTACGCTGGTAAGAATGACGCCATCTGTCATCGAATGGCAGAAACGAATATCAAAAGAACTAGTAATATCGAGAACGCTCCAGAAGTGTAACGCCATCTATTATCAAATAGCGAAAACGCATATCGAAACGACTGAACTTGCCCGGAATGTTCTCAATAATTGTAGAGATGTCGTATCGACTATAAAGGCGTTGCAGAGATGACACGAAGGCAGTTAGTAATCGGATCTACTGAATGTGAAACAGCGAACGGATCACCTGAAGCGAAACGGAAGATGTGAATTGAGAATTTGAAAGCGTAAAGTATTCTGTAAGTGTTCTAAGTATTAAATAGAGTTTTAACTTGTACTTCGTTAAAAGTTTTATTTAACCCGGGCCCCAGCGCGTAACAATATAAAGAAGATACCGATGGTAGCGGCTCGGTGCTGTGGAAGGTGGGAGTCTGGTTATCTTATTAAGAGTGCCTGTTTAGGGAGAAGAAGAAACATCTACAAATATATTTACCACAAGCAGTTCAAGGAAGCCAGGGTTATTTATCTTATACATAGTACTTTGAGAAGGCGGCACGACATGAGAATCTTCTTGCCGTGACCGCTGGAAATTATATACTCGATCCTGTTGACCGAATGGTAAACGGTCGACGTCGCCCAAAACACGTCATTACGGATCCTTCTGATCCATTAACGGTGC